TAAAATTAACGTAATCGATGAGGATGAGTTCCTTTGTCTTGGTGCTGTTCAGTGCCAAGTTGTTATTTGCACACAGTTTCAGGACCTCGTCTCTGTAGGGCGCCTCATTCCCCTCTTATCATGTCAATGTAAATGTCATATATTACGCAAAATTGACTATTATGAGCTTTAAGCCATTCTATAATGTTGTTACCTCCTCAAACAAACCTAGAATTGTGCTTTGTTTCATTCACACATGTTTGAGTAACACTTTATTATTAGTCTGTTTACATCTCCAACGCTCAAAATGCTCTGTCCACCTTTAAATCGTCGATCTCAGGAATCATTGCCAACACAGAATGTCTGACTTCGTCTACATCCATCTCAACACTTTGTTTACTGTTGTGCTGTACCACAAAAGGGACCCAGACAGTAGCTTGATTTTGATGTCGTGGCTTCACAGCTCTTCACTGATTGGCCGGAGCGCAGTCTACAAATTCTCGAGTTCTTGCAAACCATCTAGTGTATTCTGATTCCTGATCTAGTCGCTGGAGAGAAATGAAATTGAGCAGAGGCACTAGGTGGTGCCAGCCTTGCTACCTTTAAATATAAAATCTAAAACATATTTTGTTGAGTTATTTTTTGCAATATTTAATTTTGCTTTTTAGTCTGAAATATATATTACACACAAGAATGAGCCCAATTCTACAGAACATCGGAAACATAGATCATAAAAATCTGGTTTTGTGTTATGATGGTTGGAGATAAACTGTCTTGACATAAATCAACCAAATATTGTCTTCAGTTGTAGTGTTTAAGTCTGATTGCGACTTTTTTTTAGATAGATGAAAGACAAAAACAAAAGTATACCTTAGAATATAAGTATATCTTAGAAATAAAGGTATTTAACTATAATTCCATAGACTCCATATACCTTGGGTCATAATTCAAATGTAGAATATTGTGTAGGAAAAACAAAGAAAAACACTAAATGAGTCCAAACTTTTGACTGGTCGTATATATAAAATATTTTCTGGCGCACGCTGAAGCCTCCAGCAGATGCTCCGTTTGCTAATTGTGGTTTTAAACACTGTAGATTTACGCTAACGCAGCAGCCGCTCTGCTAAATGAGCACTTTTGTTTTCCTTGTGTTCACTGTTTTGGAAAAGGCTCATGAATATTTAATACATCCAAAATACTACAGAGAAAAGCATCTGAAAAGCAAATCTTATTATTATTTTAGAGGAGCTGGACGTTGTTTACGAGGGATGTAACGATATCCAAATTTTTCTTTACGATATTTTCATGATATGCTTTTCACGGAACGATATTTATTGAGATACTTTGTGGAGACTAACAAAACTGTGAATATACTACTTTTCTTTTTAAAATGCCTTGATAAGTCTTTGGTTCTGTCATAATCCAAACACCTAAAATTTGCTTAAAAACTTCTTGATAATTTCTATTTCTTTGTTATCTGCACTGAAACAGAGCAAAGGATCATGGTCTATGTAGTTCAGTTTTGTTTTTTTTAGCTTTTACTGCACCAAAACGATTAATTTAAGCAAAGAAACTTGTTATTTCTATATACAGTGGTATCTCGTTTATCGTTTATATTAGTTGTAGGACTAAAAATGGACTAAAACAGGACTAAAACAGGACTAAACCAGGACTAACCTCAGACTGATTCCAGGACTGAAGAGGAGGACTAAACCGGGACTAAACCAGGCCTAAACCAGGCCTAAACTAGACCTAAAACAGGTCTAAAACAGGACTAAAACAGGACTAAACCAGAACTAACCCAGGACTAACCTAAGACTGATTCCAAGACTGAAGAGGAGGACTAAAGTAGGACTAAACTAGGACTAAAACAGGACTAAAACAGGACTAACTTAAGACTGATTCCAAGACTGAAGAGGAGAACTAAACTAGGACTAAAACAAGGACTAAAACAGGACTAACCTAAGACTGATTCCAGGACTAAAGAGGAGAACTAAACTAGGACTAAAACAGGACTAACCCAGGACTAACCTAAGACTGATTCCAGGACTGAAGAGGAGGACTAAACTAAGACTAAAACAGGACTAACCCAGGACTAACCTAAGAGTGATTCCAGGACTGAAGAGGAGGACTAAACTAGGACTAAAACAGGAATAAAAGAGGAAAAAAACAGGGTTAACCTAAGACTGATTCCAGGACTGAAGAGGAGGACTGAACTAGGACTAAAACAGGACTAAACCAGGACTAAACCAGAACTAAACCAGGACTGAACCAGGACTCACTGTCGGGACGTGCTCGGAGGTGACCGCAGGAGAAAGGACCGGCTCAGAGCTCCTCACCTCACGGAGTTAAACGCGGCAATTGCCTGATCGCGCTTGGCGGACAAACTGCTCGGGGTTTTCTCTCTTAAGTCCAAGATTAGTCCTGGTTTAGACCTGGTTTAGTCTTGACCCACCCGTATGTAATTACTACTCGCCCGTAATACGCAATACACCTTCATACGCTGTAGAAAAAATAAAAAGCATGCACAAAAAAATCAGTGAAACAGTGAGACCGCGAAAGGTGAACCACAATATAGCGAGGGACGACTGTATTGTGATGGCCCACGATGTTACTGTGAGACTTTTGTCGACACATATCCAACTTATGTGTCTTGTCTTGACTGTTTTTATGCATGTAGTTTATATTTTTTTATATGGACAAGTGTTGAAAAGTAAAACACTCAAAGCAATGCATCTGTCTTATTTAATGTGATTGTGATGCCCTTAATAAACATAAATAAATAAAATAAAAAAGATACATGACTGTAATATTTTGGTTATTGTTACATCCTTATTGTTTACTATGTCAGTCATGTACGTTTGCTTATAATTTTGTAATATCTGAATACATTTCTAAACTCTTCTACCGCAAAAAGGCTCATGAAAAGGACTGGAGGTTCTGTTACGTAAACGTATAAAACCACAAAGAGTTAGAAAGCTTCCCTGTTCTAGTGTAAAAGACGTAACTTCCTTTATTTTATTTTAACTCATGCACAGTTGCTTGAAATGTAAAATGACACCAGGTTGAGCAATAAACCATAAAAAATAAATTCTGTTCTGTTTCTCGTTCAGCTTCTTAGACTGAAATGAGATGTTTATGGAAGACATTATGCTTCTTAAATTCGCTGCCTTTGTGTAGTGTTAATTTTAGGTGTTCAGATGAAAGCCCTGCTCTTTCTGTTTCAGCCGTCCACCTACACGAGGCTGCGTCGTGTTAAGAAATGTAGAGCTTCTTCTGTCTTTTTTTTCTCTTACAGTACAGCCGCACACTGCATTAAACTGTAAACAATAATAGACCTTTTTCACAACGGCCGGAAGTGAAGTATTGGTTTTCTAAGGTAAAATATCTGTGGAAATGTCTGGTGTATTTTCTGCGAGCTTCATAAATCTGCCCCATCACCAAATCTTCAACCAACAAGGTCCACAAAGGATAAACATTCTAACATGAAGAATTTATCCACAACTATCAAGGTAAGAAAGATGAAAACTTAAAGATGAACGACGACGCTTTAGTGAACTACTGAGCAAAATTAATGTTATAGTATCCTAGAAATGTCTCGCGTTCAAACTGCACAAATCTATCTGCTAATATCGACATCATGAAATCAATTTTTACCGTATTTTCTGCACTATAAGGCGCACTGTCATAGAATTGGTCTATTTTCCAACTTTTTTCACAAATAAACCGCACCAGGACTTTAAACGAAACACAACAGTTGGATGGGTCAGTGGGACTTTGTTTGTGGCGTTCACGGTGACTCTGGGCTTTGTTCAGTTGTGGCGTGTAGGGAGGGTGCTTGTCTGGGACCGCGGGATTGTCGGCGTGTTCGCAGTGACTCAGTTGTTCAGTTGTGTCTAGAAGTGGCACATTGCACTCGCTTTTTCGGTTCGTTCCTCCGTTCTGTTCCTCGTCGGCGTGGAGTGATGAGTGTGGCTGCGGGTGTTTTTCGCTGTGCGGTCGCTGTCTGCTACGTGTGTGTTTGCGGCTTTGTAGTTTACTGAAGTCGTGCTGGGACACTCGAATGGATTCGTGTTTAGGGCGCTCTGGATTGTGGGGCGTGCAGTCGTTTTTGGATGGGGTTGGAGGCTTACGAGTGCACCCTATAGTTCAGAAAATATGGTAATTTGGTCTGAGTGAATAAGTTTCTTCTGTTTTATTCATGACCATAAAGTTTTGCTCAGTCGTTCACTAACGTTCGTCGTTGTTCGCCTTTAAGTTTTCGTCTTTCTTCCCTTGATAGTTGTGGATAAATTCTTCATGGTAGAATTTTTATCCTTTGTGGACCTTGTTGGTTGAAGATTTGCTGATGGGGCAGATTTATGAAGCTTCTGGAGAATACACCAAACATTTCCACAGATATTTTGACCATTAACTGGAAGTTCCACAAACCTACAGCGAAGCACTTCTGGCCAATGTGAAAAAGGAACTTCTTAGACTGAAATTAAAAAGTTTGCAGACATTATATTTCCTACATCTGCTCTCTTTGTGTAGTGCTAATTTTAACTATTTCAGCTCTGAGCTTCCTGTTTTAGCCGTCCACCTACAAGAGCCTGCATGAGTGTGTTGTGTTGTAAGATTTGTAGAGCTTCTTCTTTCTCTGCCCTTTCTCTTTTTTCTGTTACAGTATCTGTTACAAATGATAGAAAAGTATGAAAGCATCTGTACCTGATTTCAAACCCTGAGTGAGGTTTTAGTTTGAGTTTAACCCCGCCCATAGCGAACCCGTCTATACAATATTGAAAAAAAAAAAGCATATGAGTATATATAAAAAGATGATTTATGATGTGTTTGTTTGTTTTTCTTCCACTGATGTAATGTTCCTTCTGTAGGATTTGGCAAAAAAAGGACAAAATTGCAAAAATAAACCAAACTCTATTGAGCATTTTTGATTTTCTGATTTCATTTTGCAGTTTTCAGATTTTTCACTTGTCAGCTCCGTCTTTATTCACACTGGTGTTTCTTGGTCTTGTCTTTTGCAGTTCTGTGTGGAGCTGAACCAGGCCAGTCTGTCCAGTGTTCGTAACTGGAAGTCTCCCCGCGGGCTGTGGAAGAGCGCAGTGTCAGAGCGACCCACAGGACCCTCCACCAAGGTACTAACTACCAAAGAGCTCTGTAGTACAGCAAGTGATGGGAAGAAAACTTTAAGAACATATTTAGCTACAGAATCCTGAATACGATACCTGCAGTAAAAAGTAACATATTCCAATACATGGGACAATCAGAGTACTGTATTCTGAATATTTAGAATACTTTTACATGGAATTACATATAAATTATAGTGTAAAGTCGTGACATAGCTTATGTTTATTTCACCATTTGTTTTTCTCACTGAGTCTGTGCAGTTTGAAGCTTAAATTACAAGATGAAATACCGTAATGTTTTCCTTTGATTTTAGAAAAGTAACTGTATTCTAAACTGTGTGGCTAAATCTGGTGTAAAGCCTCTTTTTTTTTCTTTTATGAGATTCATATTCGTGCATGTGATCCCTGTTAAAATAAACTAATAAACTAAACTATTTTGAAAACCACAAAATAAAAAAGTAAGTGCACTGGAATTAGGGCTGAGTATCATTAAGAAGTTGCCGATACGATACATACCTCGATACAGTGCACTTTTGATTCGATACGATATATTTCAAATCGTTCGATACTGTTCAATAAAAAATAAGGGCTAAATCATGGCTGTGATACTAAAAGTCTTTGTTAAACCACGACTTTCATCAAAAACTGAAAAGGTCAAATGTGTTTCGTAAATGAGTTTCCTTCCTCTGAACAAGCAACAAAACTGTAGTGCTGCAATAAAATAATTGAGTAAAATATACCAAAAATACTCTTGGTGATATATCGATACAGCAGCCCACGATATCGATACTGTATCATCACATTAAATGATACGATATATCGATATTTCAATAACAATACTATTACTACTATTACTACTATTACTATTGCTACTATTATACTAATACTATTACTTCTACTACCATTATTATTATTACTATTACTACTATTACTAATACTACTAATACTATTACTACTATTACTACTTTTTCTAATAATATTACAACTATTACTAATACTATTACTACTATTACTAATACTATTACTACTTTTTCTAATAATATTACAACTATTACTAATAATATTACTACTATTACCATTACTACTATTACTAATACTATTGCTACTATTACTATTACTACTAATACTATTATACTATTACTATTATTACTATTACTAATACTATTACTACTATTACTATTACTACTATTACTATTACTACTATTACTATTATTACTATTACTAATACTATTACTACTATTACTATTACTACTATTACTATTATTACTATTACTTTTCTATTACTATTACTAATACTATTACTACTATTACTAATACTATTTACTATTACTACTATTACTATTATTACTATTACTAATTATACTACTATTTACTATTATTACTATTACTTCTATTACTATACTATATACTATTACTATACTATACTATTACTACTATACTACTATTACTATTATTACTATTACTATTACTATTACTAATATTACTATTACTATTACTTACTATTACTATTACTATTACTATTACTACTATTACTAATACTACTACTATTACTATTACTACTATTACTATTATTACTATTACTTTTATTACTATTACTACTATTACTATTACTACTAATACTATTTTTATTACTATTACTATTATTACTGCTACTACTATTAGTACTACTACTATTACAATTACTACTATTACTATTACTACTAATACTAATAATAATGCGTCAGTTTTAGACTGCAATTTTCTGGACACTCAAAGACGCTTGAACAAAACAAATGACTTGTGATGAACTGTATTACATTGAATTTTTAAAAAGTTTAAAAACTGAACATTTCAAAATACAGTAAGTGAGTAAGTAAAGTGTATTTATACAGCGCTTTTCACAGACATGGGTCACAAAATGCTTCACATACAAAAGATAAAAACAATAGAAGATACATTCATGATAAAATAAAATCATCAGTCATAGCAGCTCTAAACCTGAGGGACGGGACGCTTGTTCAGAGAAATGTTTTTAGTTTCTTTGTGTAGTGGAGCTCAGGCTACGGGCAGAGGTTTACAGCAAACGTGTGTCTTGTTTGGTCCTTAGTTTCCCAGTAACGGATTTGTCCAGTAAAACCTAAAACTTTTTCGCTTTGCGTCTTTTCACCGCCTCATCTTAAGCAAAGAAACTATAAACCTGCTCTAGACTGTGCCACAGTTTGGGTTTGGCATCCTGAGCATCCATGTGAAAGGAAGTAGGTCAGTACTGGCTACGTGATACTCTGCAGTGACATCATGCAGGGAGGTTCTGCATATATGTCTATGGTGGAATGGTCAGCAATTACCACAATGACACAAAGCGCACATGCAAAACAGGAAAGTGTAATGCCGTAGAGTGGAACATTCCAGTTGTCTGTCTCACTCTGGGTTTGTGCTGTTCTCAGGGGAGGAGCTTCTGCGGGTTCATGTGGGACAGCGCCTCTGGCATCGACCTGAAAGAAGCCGCCATTTTGGAGTCCACGGTTACCAACGGCAACGGGACCCGCGGCCAGCCAGGACTCTACAAGGCTCTGTTCACTGTGAGTACGGGAGCGGTCACAAAGCAACGCTAATCTATCTGGGAATTATTTAATGCAGGGTTCCCACGGTTATAGAAATCCGGAAACATCATGGGAATTGAAAATGTCATTTTCTGGGCCTGGAAAAGTCATGGAATTTTAGTATTTCTTAATGATATTATGAATTTGATAGACAAGCCAAAAGCCACATCCTCCAATCTTACAAAAGAGGAGAGAAATGCACTGAATGAACTGATGAATGACAAAGATTTTGTCATCAAACCCACCGATAAAGGTGGTGCAATATGTATTCAAGACGCCGACAAATATCGAACTGAAATTCTTTCCCGATTGCTAGACGCTCGTTTCTACAGAAGACTGAACTAAGACCCTACTGTGGCTTTTCAGAACAAATTTTCTCATATCTTCAGGATGCTAAAACAAATACCGTATTTTCCGCACTATTAGGCGCTCTGAATTATAAGACGCACTGTCATTAAATGGTCTCTTTTTGAACTTTTTTCACAAATAAACCGCACCGGACTTTAAATGAAACACAACAGTTGGATGGGTCAGTGGGACTTTGTTTGTGGCGTTCACGGTGACTCTGGGCTTTGTTCAGTTGTGGCGTGTAGGGAGGGTGCTGTCTGGGACCAACGGATTGTCGGCGTGTTCGCAGTGACTCAGTTGTTCAGTTGTGTCTAGAAGTGGCACATTGCACTCGCTTTTTCGGTTCGTTCCTTCATTCCGTTCCTCGTCGGCGTGGAGTGATGAGTGTGGCTGTGGGTGTTTTTCGCTGTGCGGTCGCTGTCTGCTCCGTGTGTGTTTGCGTGCGCTGCGGGTGGTGCAGCTTTGTAGTTTACTGAAGTCGTGCTGGGACACCCGAGTGGATTCGTGTATAGGGCGCTCTGGATTGTGGGGTGCGCGGTCGTTTTTTGATGAGGTTGGAGGCTTAAGAGGGCGCCAAATAGCCCGGAAAATATGGTAAATGGATATCTTACTCAGATTTAGATTTTCTTTACTGTAAACACCCAATTCACCCCTTTATATACACCCTACCTGAAATCCACAAATCATTGACTAATCCTCCTGGTCGTCTAATTGTGGCACAAACAAACTCTTTATGGTCACCTTTGTCAACTTCTGTGGATTTCTTTATTAAACCTTTTGTATGCACTGACAGTATTTTGAATGTTAAAAAAAAAACTATAATACCAAACCATAAATTGAGTGGAAAGGGTTAATATTTCATATTTAGCTCTAAAAGTCTGATCAATTCTACATATGTAAGTGCCATAAAGTCATGTTTTGAAAATTTGTCAGTGGAAAAAGAGAGGGAACCCTGGTAATATTCCATGATTTTAAAGGTCCGATATTCCACTACATTGACTCTTGTGTGCTTTAAGTTGTGTTATAATGTTGTTTCCTCATCAAAAAACAGACGTGGAGTTGTGTTTTTTGTTTGTTTCATTCACACATGTTTAATTAATCTTTTATTATTAGTCTGTCTACATCTTCAAAGCTCAAAATGATCTGTTCCACCGCTACTATTTACCTTTTCTTTAATTGAGATTGGCAATTCCAGAGCTGAAATCATCCAAATGATTCTAGTGAAGGCGTATGGACTTTAAAAACACAGTGGAGCACTTCCTGTATTACCATGTGACATCACAAGGTGGAGTGTTTTCTGTTTTAGAGAAGAACTCAACCTAAATCTGCAGAGTTTCTGTGTTAAACATGTGTGAATGAAACAAACCACAACTGCAGGTCTGTTTTTGATGAGCAAACAAAAATAGCGTAATATCGGCGCTTTAAAAGTCTACGTTTTAGTTTTACACAATCGGCTGTAAATCTTAGCCGCAAAAATACAGAAATCTCACATTAAACCCGTGAGTGAAGATTACACAGCAAGTTTCTGTTCTTGCTGTGGTTTACGGGCTTCTTTGCAGCTTTTTTACGATTTAATTGCGGGACAGTAAACTCAGAAATTCTAATTCTGCAACGTCGTAACAACTTTTCAATATTATATTATAGATAAAAACAATTGCCCAAAAAGCAAATGGGCAGAGCGATGTGCAAACAAGCCTTAAAGGGTGAGTTCATACTAAATTGAAATGACTGTGTTTCATTGTTTAAAACTTGAGTCATACTAATTATTCAGAGACACACAATCACTTAGTCAACAATAAAATATCCTCATTAATGTTCAATAATGGTCAAATTCAACTTCATTTTGTTATTTATGAATAGTATCTATTGACTTGGGTCGTGAAGGTTTGTGACTTTTAAAATATGGATCCCCAGAAAAAAAGTTTGGGAAATACTGCCCTAGACTAAGCTAAGACTAAACCTGGACTAGACTTGGACTAAACCAGCACTTATACCAGAGCCACTATATACCATGCACTTCGGAAGGAACACCTACAACTCCACAGCGTGCGTTAAAAAAACTGCATAACCCGCGGCTCCTCGTTGTTTTAACTTTCTTAAACTAGACCAAACCAAGTCCACATCAAGTCTACATCAGGACTAATCTGGGATCACATGAGGCCCAAACCAGGATAAGTGGAGAGTGCTGAATAGATGCACGAGACTTTTTAAACACCATCTGTTATGTTTATGTTTATTTTAGGTGGGGTCGTACGAGCTGAAGCTGGTGAACGTGCACATGCAGATCACCGGTGCAGAGAACGGCACCAATGGCACCAATGGAAAGAACGGGCACAGTGATGAAAACAAGCACCACCGGCTGTCCCCGGGCATCCTGGACACTCTCAGAGGTCTGTGCACTTTCACTTTCTCTACAGGCTGGACACAAATAGACCCATGTCCAAACAAACTTAATCACTGTAATATAATACATGTTTTTACTTTATACTGTGCTCAACGGTACCACTAATAAAGGTACATATATTCTAGACAGTAGTAGTGGTACTCATAGTTGTAGTAGTGGTACTCATAGTTGTAGTAGTTTATTCTCGGTTTTCAACTTTTGATTTCCTGCAACATTTTGGGGACTTTTCACCCTTCATAATTTGTTTTGAATTGTTAATTGCCATGGCAACTGTGCTAAATTTAGTAGCAGTAGCTGCAGCGGTTGCAGTAGCAGTTGTAGTGGTTATAGTTCTACGTTGTAGTAGAACTATTATTATATAGCAGTAGTAGTTGTGGTAGTAGTGGTTATAGTTATTGTTATACTTAGTAGCAGAACTACTACTGACTACAACTATATAGTAATAGTAGTAGTAATTGTTGTAGTAATTGTAGTAGCAATAATAGTGGTTATAGTTATAGTTTTAGTTCTACTACTAAATATAACTACAATTATGTAGTAGTAGTAGTAGTAGTAGTAGTAGTAGTAGTAGTAGTAGTAGTAGTAGTAGTAGTAGTGGTTATAGTTGATACTACTACTACTAAGTAGAACTATAACTATATAGTAGTAGTAGTAATTTTTGTAGTAGTTGTAGTAGCAATAGTAGTGCTTATAGTTATAGTTTTATTTCTACTACTAAATATAACTACAGTTATGTAGTAGCAGTAGTAGTGGTTATAGTTAGTTAGTCAGTAGTACAGTAGTAGTAGTAGCAGTAGTAGTAGTAGCAGTAGTAGTAGTATACAGTGTACATGAGTAATACTTTTGTAGTAATATTTATACTTCAGAATACAAAACACTCATATTTGACTTTATAGACTTTGTAGTAATGTAGTTTTAGCGGAGAAGGATGGTGGTGCTCGGGTTCGGCTGCTCCCCTCAGGCCTCGGAGCTGGACGTTCTGAGGAAGGATTCTGCCCCTGGTGGAGTGCGCACTCGCTCTGCCTTCTCAGCAAGGCCCTCAAGAAGACTCTACACATCAGAGGGTTCCAACTAAACCTCTTTCTGGTCAGATTGTGCTAAAACAAAGTTGTGAAAAGCGCTAATAAGTCTTCGCTATGAATAATTAAGATGCTGGAAATGTGTTACCACTGCAGAATGTTAAAACTGAGCTTCTGTTTTTCACAATTTTAAGATGGTAAAAAAACAGGTGCAATGCCTTAAAACTGTGAAACTGAAGAGGAGACTGTATGTTTACACTGCATAAAACTACAAAAAATATTTATAATCCAGGAAAATAAATATGTTTTTCAAGTACTTTTTACACTGCAGCTCAGAGTGTTTGTTCACTGATCTGAAGGTTAACGGTGCAATTCCAGCTCCCACACATGAATACTGTCATTGTGTCCTTGGGCAAGACTAAACCAGGACTAAACTAGGTCTAAACCAGAGCTAAACCAGGATGAAACCAGGACTAAACCAGAACTAAACTAGGTCTAAACCAGGACGAAACCAGGACTAAACCAGGATGAAACCAGGACTAAACTAGATCTAAACCAGAGCTAAACTAGGTCTAAACCAGGACTAAACAAGGTCTAAACCAGGACGAAACCAGCATTAAACCAGAACTAAACCAGAACTAAACTAGGTCTAAACCAGAGCTAAACTAGGTCTAAACCAGGACTAAACCAGGACTAAACCAGGACTAAACTAGGTCTAAACCAGAGCTAAACTAGGTCTAAACCAGGACTAAACTAGGTCTAAACCAGGACAAACCAGGACTAAACCATGACTAAACTAGGTCTAAACCAGAGCTAAACTAGGTCTAAACCAGGACTAAACCAGGTCTAAACCAGGACTAAACCAGGGCTAAACCAGGACTAAACAAGGTCTAAACCAGGACTAAACTAGGTCTAAACCAGAGACTTAACCCACCTCCAGTGTCTGTGTGCACTTGTGTATGAATGAATGGGCGATTGGTTCCTTGATGTAAAGTGCTTTGAGTAGGGTTCCTATTTTTGGCCCATTTAATCTAAACCAGGTCAAAACGAGGACTAATTTAAGACTAAAACAGGACTATCACAATGTTTGACTAACCTGATTTGCGTCAACAGTGAAGAGGAGCATAAATTATCATTTGTTTAGCCAAAATACAGAATTAGTTATCTTTAAATGCATTAATCTGAGTTATCCTGAATATCTCAAACAGTATTTAATTCCATTCAGATCCTCTTACAGTTTACGTCACGCAGATCAGATATTTTTTGTTGTCCCAAGAGTCAAAAAACACGTAGGAAATTTAAATATGAAGCTCGTGCATTAACTTCTGTCCCTTCATTTAAAAATGCTCTGGTTCAATATTTACAGAACCCATGTTATTGTTTTTAATCATTTTGTTGTTCATTTTGTTGTATTTTGAGACTATATTTGAACTTTGTCTTAGTTTTTGTTCTTAGATTTTTATTTATTATGTGTCTAACAAATAAATTCAAAACTGTGTCTGCAAATGACCATAAAACAAAAAAAAAGCAGCGTCAGAAGTCCCTCAGATTATGCACAATGTTCCACGCTCTTTTCACAGTTTTATTTATACCAACCATCCCAACTTGGGTATGTCCCAGTTTTGAATTTTAAAAATCTGGTCACTTTAGCTTTGACTGACTTGAGGTGAAAAAGCAATGTATAAAATGATCATTTACCTTTTATATAAGTGAAAAGTTTGACATAAAAACCAGTGGTGTAGTGAGGATTTTTTAAGTGGCGGTACGCGGTTTGTGACGTCATCGATGTGAACCGGGACTAAACTAGGTCTAAACCAGGACTAAACCAGAGCTGAACCTGGACTAAACTAGGTCTAAATCAGAGATGAACCAGAACTAAACCAGGACTAAACCATGAATACACCAGGACTAAACCAGGTCTAAACCATGAATACACCAGGACTAAACCAGGTCTAAACAAGGACTAAACAAGAGCTAAACCAGGACTGAACCAGGTCTAAACCAGGTCTAAACCAGGACTAAACCAGGACTAAACCAGGTCTAAATCAGAGCTGAACCAGGTCTAAACCAGGTCTGAATCAGGACTAAACCAGGACTAAACCTGGACTAAACCTGGACTAAACCTGGACTAAACCAGGACTAAACCAGGTTTAAACCAGGTCTAAACCAGGACTAAACTAGGTCTAAACCAGGACTAAATCAGAGCTGAACGAGGACTAAACCAGGACTAAACCAGGTCTAAATCAGAGCTGAACCAGGCCTAAACCAATCAACACAGGCACATCTCCAGGTCTGTACTGACATTCAATCCTGGTTCAGTCCTTGTTTGGTCCTTGTTCAGTCCTGGTTCAGTCCTGGTTCAGTCCTTGTTTGGTCCTGGTTTAATCCTGGTTCAGTCCTGGTCCCTCGTGTCTCAGGTCACTATAGGACAGTCGTGCAGATATCATGAGCCTCGCCATTCGCTCCGGTTTGACATTTAACTTGTAGCTCTTTTATATTTGTTATTTTTTTATATCTCACGTTTATCACCACGCCCACTACACCCCTGATAAAACTTTATAAATCCCTGTATGACCACGTCTTCAGCCCACACACGTAAAACGGACACGTAAAAGTCCGGCTCTTCTGAGAGTCTGGTCCCGCTCCATAATTCATTCATTGCTTCAAGTGGGACAAACAGGTGCAGTGGTAACTAGGGCAGCCCGACAAAACACAACGAAATTAGAATTTGAATGGACACAATTAGCAAAACATGACTGCTGTGATTAATTGGATACTGTAATGTACACAGTTTTATCTTATTTCCATTATAACAAACTGGCAATAGATGTTTTCTTCGATTTCTGTCAGTAATTTACATAAAACAGTTTCAAATAATAATAATAATCATTTACAGGTCCGTTTAAGCCCCTCAATTTTCTACATTATTCATTCACTCCACACCATAGACTGTAAATAAATGGACATAACAGGACTCCAGTTAACTTTCCATTGAGAAATTGTCACTCCTCCTCCTCATTTTGGTCTTTAAATGTTCGTATTAACCCGCTCTACATGATCCTGGTGTTTTTATTTTGCCATTTCACGCACTATGGGTGTCGTCGCACTCCCGTAGTCCACTTCTTTACACAGTCTATGCTCCACACCTGCGCTCTTATTATTATTACACTTAAAGGTTGTATGGAGGATTTTTTTGTTTGTTTCAAATTGTCAATGAAAGTTTAAAATACCATTACAGAGACGCAGCAGCTTTGTAATTATAATGACCAAAAAAAAAAAGAAAGAAAATCTATCAACTGTGGACGTGTTGAGGCCAGATAAACATCAGCCAATAGAAAACGAGGCTGCCTCATTTTCTATTGGCTGTTAGGTTGTCAATCAAACTCCCTACGTTTCTAAGGTAACTATGCAGCAGTTCTTAGAGGCTTTTTCTAATTGTGGCTCTCGCAGTTCGCATAAAGTTTGTCGCGATGTCGGACGAGAATCGACGACCAGTTCGCCGCAAAAGAAAGTCCGTTTTTGAGGTCGCTGAAAGAAGAAGAGAAGGAGAAAAGGAGCGAAGACAAACTGAGGTGATTCTTGGAGATTCCTTTCAGTGACTGCGCGACTGAAGCAGACAAAGGGTCTAAAAACTGAGGTGTCGGTCTCTAAATTATTTCTAGAGGGAGCTGTGGAGGAGGAAGGTGGTGTCAAGGACTGTCGCTGGATTTCTCTTTCCTTAAAAAAATCCTCTATACAACCTTTAAGTCTTGAGTTTGTCTCTATAATGAGTCGTTGAAGTTCATCATTCAAACTTCTACAGCTCAAATAGAATCGTAAAATAGAAAAATAACAAAAAGTTCCCCACTAGTGCAGGAAAGTCTCCATTATAAATACTGACCCCCCCAAATTTTTGCTCTGTCTTTTATATACAGTACTGTAAACTTTGATATAATTGTAGTAATTATCACGACAGGGAGACAGTAGCTCAGTTGGTAGAGCGTTTTGTCAACTGATTCAAAGGTTGGTGGTTCAAATCCCATAAAGCACTTTGAGTGACTTGAAGGTGGAATAAAATGTTAAATAAAATTATAAAATACAATATAAAATAGTAATTAAAAAAATAAATAAATAAATAAAATAATCTAACAATAAATAACAAATAGATAAAAATAATAAAATATGTAAAATAATACAGTAAAATAAAAATAATAAAAATAAAAGGTAGAATAAATGCTGTATAAAACTTTGATTTTTTTTTTACCATGACAGGCCTAGGTCCATGTAAGAGCTATTTGCTTATTTTGTTTATTCTAAGATTAGTTTATTATTTTTGTTTGTCAGTTTGTTTACTAATTTAGTTTTTGTTCATTTGTATAATACATTTTTGCTATCTGAATGTTATGTTTGCTGCATTTCGTTAGACTATCAGGCCAGTGTTTCTATGCTTATTCCTTTCACTACTACATACACTACAGGTCAGAAGTTTTAGAACACCACACTTTTTCCAGTTTTTTACTGTTGACTAAAACATTTTCTAAACTTTTGATTGATGAAAGTGTCCACCTTTGGCATATATAACAGCTGAACACACTCGTGGCTCGCTCTTTTTATAACAGAAATCAAATATTCTTCAGAAAGTTCTTCCCAAGTCTGTTGCAGAAGTTTCCATAAATGTGTGGCACTTGTAGGTTGCTTCACTCTTCTGTCCAGTTCATCCCAAACCAGCTCCATGGGGTTTAAGTCTGGACACTGTGCCGGACACTCCATATTTACAAGTTTATCATCTTGTTCTTTTTTCCTGAGGTAGTTTTGGTAAAGCTTGGACTTGTGTTTTGTTCTTTTATTGTTTTTTAACCTCTAGCTGTTCAGTATTTACCTTTTGTACCATTCCAAGCTCTTCATTGGACTTGAACAACTTGAATTGCAATAAATAACTGGAAAAATGAGGGTGTTTTAAATCTTTTGCCCGGTAGTGTATATGTGTGAATTGGGATTTTCAAGACAAAGCACAAAAAAAGTTTGTGAAACACTGGAATAAACCAAATACTCACAGTGTCCAAAGGTGATTATTTGAGTTAAGTTTAGTTCTAAGTTTGCTCACCGCTTTTATTTGTTGGTTTTTGTAGACAAATAGTAAATCTTTTGCTCGGTAATGACCTGATGCCTCTAACCCTCCTCTCCGTCCGTCCTCAGGTCACTGCGTGGTGGTGCGTGAGGGCATGACCAACCCCTGGATCCCCGACAACTGGTCCTGGGGCGGCGTGGCTTCTGACCACTGCCCCGTCCTGGCCGAGCTGTACCTGGACCTGCCCCACAAAGACCCGCCCCGCCCCGGAGTCACCGTGGACCGGGGGGAGGAGCTGCCCAAGCACGAGCGATGACGTCACACGAACGCCGGGGGATGATTGGACGTGACAGCTGCTTGTTAGTGAATGTGAAAGAGGATGTTTATTTAGAGATGATTGTGGTGGTAAGTTACAGAGCCATATTTGAAGAGACTGTAAAATATAATATAAAACTAAAACGGACTATATGAAGACAATTGTGCCATACATTTTCTAAAGAGATGAATAAATAAATGTAAGTGCTTTAATCAGGCGTTTGTGGTTCTTTTGTTAGTTAAATGGTAAAAACAAAACAGTACATTACACAACTGACTGCGCAACTTTTCTGGTGGAGCGTCTGTTACATACTTGTCTCCATAGAGATGTTATTGCTTTATCTGGAATGTTCCATGGTATGACATTTAACATATCCCTCCATCCATCCATTTTCTTTCGCTTTATCTGGGACCGGGTCGTGGGGGCTAAGCAGGGATTCCCAGACTTCCTTCAACCCGGACACTTCCTCCAGCTCCTCCAGGGGGACCCCAAGGCGTTCCCAGGCCAGCCAAGAGACATAGTCCCTCCAGCATGTCCTGGGTCTTCCCCGGGGCCTCCTCCTGCTGGGACGTGCCCAGAACACCATCTCTCAGTTTTATCTTCTTAATCTATGATACATGTAAGATTCTGCAACGCTGTGTAGTCATTTTTGCTTGCTTAGTGCGATCTGCAGCTTTCCATCGGAGGCACCGACAGCTACATGGCTCTTTGTTGCGTTTATGGCGGTGTCAGCTACAACATGTCCTGGGTCTTCCCTGGGGTCGGTGGGATGTGCCCGGAACACCTCCGCATCCGGAACAGATGCCCGATCCGCCTCAGCTGCTCCTCTCGACGTGGAGGAGCAGCGGCTCTACTCCAAGCTCCTCACCCTATCTCTAAGGGAGCGCCCAGACACTGTACGGAGGAAACTCCTTTCGGCCGCTCATGAGTATAGGTGAAGGGAGGAACGTAGATTGAGCGGTAAATCGAGAGCTTTGCAACATGATAAACATTTCCATCTTGTATTTATTCTCCGTGGATCTGAGCTGTAACACAGTGTAGTGCTATAACCTGCTTGTCTCACATGTGATAGATAAAATGAATCTAAACTGGAATATTCACAGCAATAACTTTTTTTTTATAGCGCTTTTCACAGACATTTGTCATAAAGACGCTTTACAGAGCATTATTCAGTCACTCCAGACCTAGTGGTGGTAAACTACTACTGTTGTTTCAGCTGTCTTGGGGCAGACTAACTGAAGTGCGGCTGCCAATCTGCGCCACTGGTCCCTCCGACTACCATCACTCACGCACACACCACTTTCATACTAGGCAATGCGGGTGAAGTGTCTTGCCTAAGGACACAATGACATTTTTTTGTCACTGGTGCCCTCCTGTTTCCCAGTGGTCTCCCATCCAGGTACTGACCAGGCCCAGTCTTGCTTAACTTCTGAGATCTGACGGGATCAGGCTGGTATGTCCACATTTCCACGGAGACAAGCAGCTGGCAGACCCTCTTGTAAAAATATTACACAGTGCACCTTTAAAACTGAAAATAAAATAAAATAAAATAATAATAATTGCTGCTCCTTGCATTTGCACCTCTACAAGAACTTCAGTGTGCGTTTTGTTTCATTTGACGCAGTGCAGCTTTAACCTGCGCTTAGAGACACTTCCAAGTTTGTCTCATTCTCAGTTTATGGACAGGCCTCGTGAAAACTCAGAACCTCCAGGATTCCCTCCCCGAGCTGCAGGCGCTGGGGTTTAGGCAGTGACTGTTCAGATCAGAGAGAGGTATTTTAGGCTTAAACCAACTGGATTTCAGCACTGAACCTGGCAACCCAAATGAGAGAGTTATGTGAGGCTGATTCTGCTTCTGAATGATCAAATTATTATAACAAACCTCTCGGCCGTCGTGTCTGATGTTTTCGTAATTAAGAATAAATCAGCGCTGCAGTTATTATCTGTAAAATCTGTGTTTGATTTGAATTTAATTTTGTTATTTGTTGTTGTTGCCTGTTCTATATGAAGACACTGTCAGGGCATGTTCATGGAATTTAAAGCTGTACTGTGTAACTTTTTGACTGGGGATCCGTCACCTGCTTGTTTCTATGGAGATGTCATTGCTCTGGAATGTTCCACAATTTGACATTAAACAGCTCTACTTTATTTTTTTTTTCAATTACGGGTGGTTTTATAGCTCAAAAATACCTAGAAAAACAAACATTTTGAGTGTGAGCGGGGTCGCCTCTCCACAGATCTGACCTGTAACCAGTGTTGGGGAGTAACAGATTACATGTACCGGAGTTACGTAATCAGAGTACAAATTATGAGTAACTGTATTCAGTTACAGTTACTGTTTCAGTGAGTGGTAATTGGATTACAGTTACTTTGTTGAAATAAATGGATTACATGGCGGTATTTTCCTGTTTTCATATTTTGGGCTAAATCCGTTTTTTGTTTTTTGTTTCTCTGTAATTCCACTCATTGCCGGACACTTAACCTGGTCTAAACCAGGACTAAAACCAGAACTAAACCAGGTCTAAACCAGGACTAAACCAGGTCTAAACCAGGACTAAACCAGGGCTAAACCAGGTCTAAACCAGGACTAAACCAGGGCTAAACCAGCACTAAAACCAGGACTAAACCAGGACTAAAACCAGGACTAAAACCAGGACTAAAACCAGGACTAAACCAGGACTAAACCAGGACTAAACCAGGACTAAACCAGGTCTAAACCAGGTCTAAACCAGGATAAAACCAGGACTAAAACCAGGACTAAACCAGGTCTAAACCAGGACTAAAACCAGGACTAAAACCAGGACTAAAACCAGGACTAAAACCAGGTCTAAACCAGGTCTAAACCAGGATTAAACCAGGACTAAACCAGGACTAAACCAGGACTAAAACAGGATTTAACAGGACTAAACCGGGACTAAACCATGCCGTGCGGACAGTGTTTCCTCCTCTTCTATCAATAATATTTTTAATTTGGTTAAGTAAAATCTGGGCTCTTTATTGTCTTTTAGCAAACAATATGATATGCTAGTCTTTGCTTCTCTACAGCAAATCAAATAATCCAAAGTATTCAGATTACATTACTCACTTTAAGTAATTTAATGGATTACATTACAAACTACATTTTGGTGTATGTAATCTGTAATCTGTAGGGGAATACATTTCAAAAGTCACCTTCCCAACACTGCCTGTAACTTGGTCTGATTTGGGTCCATGAAGATAGAAAGGTTTAATGCCATACTGTGAAACATTCCGGACAAACCAATAACATCTAAGTGGACAAAAGCATTCGACAGACCTTCCACCAGAAAAGTTACACTATGCAGCTTTAAAATCAAAGTTGCTTTAAGAGGAGGAAGAGGAGAGGGTGTAAGTTGAAAGCTGCACTGATAAATTATGTAGGCAGTGGTTGTGCTGTGGGCTTCTGTAATGGAAATGAGCGAGCGCCGCTGAATGCAACACTGCCTTTCTTCTTCTTCTTCTGTTTGGACGGTACAGTCTATAGGAGACTTTTCTTCTGACCAGGATGTTCTGAAAACTGAAGTTTGTTATAAGATGTTTACAACTGCACACTCAAAACACAAATACAGCTCAGCTCTTTTAATATTAATACAATACATGCATCACAAATTTCTCACTTCCGGTCATTGCGCATTGTATATTGAGAACGGTTTTCCGAAAAAGTCAGTATCGAACCACCATGTTTGTTTTCCCAGTGGGATGTGTCTATTGACAAAGTCGATCTTTTCAAGTCTTTTAAACCATGTCGCTTTTGTTTCTGGTTCTGATATTGTCATATTTTAGTTTTGAGATTCGGACATCGTAATTGTGTGGTTGTTGGATCCTAACAGCGGAAAACAGCTCGAGAAATGGGTTTTGAAAGTTTGCGAACTCCATAACTGCAAAAGGGAATCAGATCTGTGTGACTGCAAACCTCCGTTCAAACTGTTTCCCTTCCCAACAGAACAGAAAAATAGTGAAAGCCGAAGGCGATGGGCAGGATTGATCCACAGGAAGAATGAACAAGGAAACCTTTGGCTGCCTAAGAAATCATCATGAGTTTGTGGCGAACAACAACAAAACACTGCAGGATGGCATTAAACCTTTCTATCTTCATGGAAACCAATCAGATCAAGTTACACGTCAGATCTGTGGAGAGGCAACTCCGCTTACATTTTTCTAGGAGTATTTTTGAGCTATAAAACAACCTGTAATTGAATAAATGTAAACTCGAGCTGTTTAATGTCACACTGTCATACTACAAGTACGTGCACCTTTAAGCCACAGTATGTTACACAGGCTGGTGCCACCTAGTGCCTCTGCTCAATTTCATTTCTCTCCAGCAACTAGGTCAGGAATTGGAATACACTAGACGGTTTGCAAGAACCCCGCCTGTCTGGGTCCCTTTTGTGGAACAGCACAACAGTAAACAAAGTGTCGAGATGAATGTAGATGAAGACAGACATTCTGTTTTGGCAACGATTCCCGAGATCGAGGATTTAAAGCCAGAACAAAGAGAATATTTGGTGAATTTTATCAAGCGGAAAGACATTATTGCCCTTCTTCCTACAGGATTTGGCGCAGTACATACGTCACGGCCAAATAACAGAGATTGGTTAAATTAAAAAAAGTACCTGCCTATCGTTGAGCGAAAGAATTCTAACGCTGTGAGGTCGGACGGTTTCCACGAAGTGAAACTGGCTGATAAATCAGGCTAACAATATGTAACTTTTCAGCTAAAAAAGGTAAACATTTTTATTTGCAATGAAAAGCATACATCCTTACTGTGAGTGGGCTTGCATCTCCACAAACCTGACTCTGACTTATGACTTATTTGGCCTATTTCTGCTTCATTTTTCCGTGGGAATGTTCGTTTGGCTATAATCTTCCACAACATGAAATAAAACATATCTATCTCCATGGAGAATGTTCCTTAAGTATGTGTTTACAGGCCAGGTCTGTGGAGGGATGACCTTGCATTACAGTAAGAATGCACTTTTTAAGGATTTGTTTCAGTTGACAATGCAAGATAGATGTGTTTAATGCCATACTGTGGAACATTCAGCCAAGACAATAACATCTTCATGGAGACAAGCAAATGGTCAGACCCTCCGTCAAACATGATATAGTGCTTTCATATTAATGTACAAAACTGCTCAATTTAACCACACAGAAAAACAAGAGACAGTGAAGCATGAACAGACAAATGTATTTA